ACGTCAATGTAATACAATATGTAATGCTATGCACAAAATTGTCAGAATACTGAAGAACTCCCAATCCAGGAGCAAAAAGTAAAGAAAATATTAAGGTGTGGTAATTTGGGCAACAAACTCATGTAACATCGTTGCATTTCAAGTTTCATAGCAAATGCAGCACATAATACCAACCCAAGTGCAACACGTTTTCATTTCTGCAAAAGCAGAAAGTACTTCTACCTCATGCAACAAAAACAATCAATTTTGTTGCACACTGGGTGGAAATATGAGCAACATTTGCTCTCCAACCTGCAAAGCAGTGTTGTTGTGCAATTTTGTTTTCTGTATTACTGCAGCTTTATATGTTCTTATGACCATTGTCAATGCAAGCAGAAAGAAACTGACCAGATATATTTTCATATTGCAGACCAAGGGTATCTGTGGGCTAACAAGAGAGGTAGCTGTAGGCCTTCTTGCAAACCTGGAGAGCAGGGGATTGAGGAGAGTTGAGTTTGTTACAAGGGGTCTTCCCCCTCAACACCTGTGGACATTAGAAAGGTGCCAAAATAAGGACAGAGACTTTGCCTTGCCAAGTTTCAACAAACCCTCTGGTCTTTGTGTTGCTAAAAGATTAGACAAAGCCAACTTTTCCAGAAGAGCGGATCCAGGTGTATTTCTCACAAATAGGGCCTCGCTGCCACAAAAAGGCCAGTTAACAGTAAGGGCACAGTTCCACAGAACCCAAGTAGCTCTACCACCAAGCCCACCATAGAAATGCCCAGAATGCTTCTTTATCAGGAATTTTTATTAAGTGAACACAAACAAGCAGATAATTATTTTTAATAATTCTAGTGGATAGGAAAAGAAAAAATTGTTGATGTTAACAACTAGACTAGTCTAGTCCAATATACATGCACAATGTACGAAGAACATGCAATGTGCTTGCAACTGGACATGTCTAGGTTGCATGTTATACACTTGATTTATTCAATATAAGTTGAATTGTATGTATGGCATAAATAATTGGAACAGTTTTCAGCAAAAGTTGAGGAAAGTACACTAAACTCAAAATGCTTGCTAATTTTTTTAACTTGTCAGTTATCTTTGTTATTTTAGACTAACAGTGAGCTCTTCTTGTCCATCAATCAAATAACAGACATGTCATAATTACAATAGACAAGAGAGTAATATACCTTCAAATATTTACATTCAGATTCTTATAAATTATATATTCTCCCTATTCTAAGTGCATGTGGTAGATAGTTAGAACATTCTCTATAATGTTGAGTGTTTGAATGAAAGCCTACTTTACACTTTTACTTGCCCTTTCTACTACTTTGCTCCACAGTCCTCTTTTTGTGTGAAGAAGTAGAGCGGTACTCTCAGGAGAAGAACCACAGAGACTTCCATGCCACTCTAAACGCTGTTTATGGTCCAAGATCCAGAACCTCTCATCCAGTGAAGTCCAAAGATGGCGAGCTCATTACTGCCCCTGACATGATAAAGGACAGATAGTTGAACATTTCAGTGATTTACTAAACCAACCAACTGATGCTGACTTGACCATTGCTGATGGCATAGACCAGCTTTCAGTCATTGAATAAATGCGCCGCCCAATTGAAGAGCAAGAACTTGACCAAGCTCTTAGAAACACCCGACTAGGAAAGAGCTCAGGTCCTGATGGTATTCTTCCTGTAATACTTGTGAATGGTGGACAATGTCTGAGAGCTTTCCTGCTTGACCTTTTCAACATCTGCTGGGTTACAGAGATAATCCTATTGGACTGCATAGATGTGAACATTGCCATATTGTCCAAAAAAGGTGACAGAAGTCATTGCAGTAATTACAGAGGCATATCGCTATTTAGTACTGTTGGAAAAGTATTGGTGGACGTCATTTTGCAGAGGCTTCACCTGCTAGTGGAATCCATGTATCCCCAGTCGCAGTCAGGGTATAGTAATGGAAGAAGTACAATAGACGGAATTTTCACGCTTCGCCAGCTGATGGAAAAAACAAGAGAGCAACGCAGATGCTTGTACATGGCCTTTGTGGATTTTGTCAAGGTGTTCCACACTGTCAATTGCAAGCTTCTTTTCATCATCCTTCACAAACTTGGCTGTCCACCAAAGTTTATAAGAATCATCAAGAAGCTATATACACAGCTATATACACACTTGCAGTGTACAGATCAGGTTACATTACGATGGAGATCTCTTTGAGCTACGCAGGCTTAAAGCAAAAACCAAAGCCCTAACAGCTTTGCTATTTTCAGCGACACGCCAGAGGGTCTGCAATCACTTTTGACCTCCCATAATGACATCACTAAGAGGATGGGCCAGTGCATCAAAATGGTCAAAACAGAGACTAAGTGTATTGGTAACACAGCTGATTTCTTTGAAGACGGCACCAAGCTAGCTGACGTCACTCCCTTCCAATACCTCGGCAGTTATGTTGGCAGCAACTGCTCTATGAAGGAGGAACTTGAATCTCATATTCAAGCAATGTCATGTGCTTTTGGTCGACTGTGAAAGAGAGTTTTCAACTCACATGATCTAACAGCTTCAACTAAAGTCACTGTGTACAACCAATGTCTAATGCCTCTTCTGATGTATGGAAATGAAACTTGGACTCTATATCAACATGAAATCATGCAGCTCCGTGCAATCCAACAGCATCATCTATGTCTTATCTTAAACATCAAATCGGACGATTACATCAGCAATGAAGAGGTGTTGCGACACGCCGACATTGAAGACATGGAGGTGATGTTAGTAAGGACCCATCTGCGTTGGTTAGGACACATTTTTTGAATGAACAATGATAGGCCGGTAAAGCAGCTCTTGTACTGTGAGTTGGCTCATGGTTCTCACCCTATAGGCTGACCTGAGCTTTGGTTCAAGGACACCTGCAAAAGTGCTTTGAAGTGTGGTCATGTCTGAGATCAGTGGCTTTCAACCGTGAACAACAGAGCCGAATGGAAGAGACTCACAAGGGCAGTCTGTGACGCATACAACTCTAAGAGGGTCCAAAATTATGAAAAGAGAAGGGCTCAACATAGAGCTGAACAGAGGAAAACTGTGGATATACCTGTTTTCGGGCTATAGGCGTATTATTATTATTATTGTTAATGTGAGGTAATATCCCATCATCAAAAAAGTTGTTCTGAAGCAAATGGCTTTAGCAGATACTCTGAAGTGTGGGTCTTTGAGGCAAGAGTGAACATAACAAGTGAACTCTTTGGCAATGTAGCCAACTTTATCATAAGAGTCTGACTCAGCAGACATAATATAAACTGCAATAGCACCACTGTCATATATATTTTCTGGTTCTGGTTCTGGCACCAGTCTGGCCAGCATAGGTCATTTTAATTAACCACGGTCTTAGAAGTTCTAATTTTCAGTTCTGAATTGTCCCGTGTTCTGATAAAGTTGGATAATGACTAGATACGCATTTCCAGAAACCAGTCCAGCATTTGTTGGGATCGTGAAATTAAAATACGGAAATAGGATATGATGGTAAATCTAAATACATCTAAACAAAGTCTTCCATCTGCTGAGGTGGCCACAGTGATCTCCTTCTGTTCCAAATGGTTGTTGATCTATCTAGTCAGTCTCCTCTTCCGAGTAATTTCATGATTTTATCTAAAAGACCTTATCTATCGACATTGCTAGAAAGAGTGCCTAAAAGTTAGTGAAAATAATTAATGGCCAGGTTTGAGAGAAAGTTTTACAGACATGTGACGTGTGTGTGCTGGGGGGCACAAGCCTCCCCCCCAACCCTGAAAAAAATTTTCCGACTTTGTGAAGCTCTAACTTTATGATTTCACAAGATATCATTTTCCACTAATTTTAAGGTGATCTTTTCAGCAGTGTAGAGAGATTTTTGTTACATGGCCAATATCAAAAGTTGAAATAACTATGGAAAGGTCTATTTCATCAGATTCCATATCACGTTCAACTCAGGAGTTTCAAAGAATCTTGCAGAATGTTTCCTAAATCAGTTGCAACCAGCTTAAAGCATCATAAGGTAGACATCTCATGTCTTCTGGAAGGGAATTCCAGTCTGTCAATGCACTATTAAAGGATCTGAGTAGACCCCAGTAAGTGTTCGATCTAATAGATCTAATATTTTCCTTGGAGTGAGTGTTATGGCTATGATAGTCTGTGCCTCGAGTAATCATACTGTTTCTTTCACTGTCATTTATAAGTTTATGCATAAAAAGACACCGTTGCATTGATCTTCTGGATGATAGATTGATCCAGTTCATATCCAGAAGTGCTTGAGTTGAAGAGGAAAATGTCGCTTGATCCATTAAACACAAATTAGTTATCATAATCATCAATACATAGCCGTTCTGTTGTAGTTAACTGATGTGAAAATTATCTGGTTGCTATAGTTAAGTGAAACGATAATACTACTACAGTAAACAAGAGCTTCTCAACAGAGCAAATTTTTGTTATTGGGAATGAAAATTTGCCAGAGTTCCTCACCCTTGCAATGTGATTTTATTAGTTTGGGATTTGAAAGTTAGGAGAATGTTTAAAGTTGATCAATACTTTTAATCTTACCTTATTGTCTTCTGATTTAGCCGTGGTAAATTTGTCGATCGGACAATCACCTTTCACTTTTATTAATGGTAATGGAACCACGTTTTTATTTCTTTACTTTTTGGCATCAGAATTTAGTGACAGTTTGGGATATATTGATGTGCGTTCAACCTATCAAATGAGCACTTACCAAAGTATTCAAACCTTTTTTACTCACCTTTGACTTGTGGTTAAATTTTGACTCATCAATTTGAATAATGACCCCTGGTCCACCAAGCCTTGGGATTGGGTGTAAGATTAGCGAAATTGAAGTCTCCAACGATTAGCAATTTCCCTGGAGAAGAGACCATCGATTCCAGAAATGAAGAAAATTCCGTAAAAAATAGGGACGAAGTTAGACCATTAATGGAGGATGGTGGAGGACAATAAACAACCACTATAAGCGTGGTTAGTGAGCTTGTATGAAGCAACACTTCCATTAACTCGAATGACCGAAATATTCGAGTTTGGAGCTTCTTTATTTTCAGATTTTTCTTGAAAAGAAGTCCAACACCACCACCAGTTCCCGTTGTTCTTGGAATGTGGTTGAAAACATAGTCTTGTGGACAAATATCACCTATGGTGAAATAGCAGTCATCATCATCAGACTTGAGCCAGGTCTCTGTGATTGCTAAAATGTAAATTTTGTTATCCACGACATAGTCCTTGATATGCAACGTTTTGTTGTTAATAGATCTGGCGTTTAACACACAGAATTGAAGTAGCTTGGTGGATGGTTTGGAAGGTTGAAACGGTAAACAGTTAATTGATATAAGAATATTCAGGTTTCGGCTTCTGTGTACAGTGTCAGATTTTGAATAATTAACCTGCGTCGGCTGTGCGGATCTATTCGAAACAACCGTTTCAATCTGTTGATGACCATCGTTTCCTGAATGAGAAATCAGATTACTGCCAGCATATTGTCGACTGTACCCAAACAAAAGGTGATTTCTGGAAATAGCAGTAAGATAAGTAGACCACACTCGATGAATATTCAGCAACTGTTCAGAGGAATAACAGATCGACGATCTTGTACTCGCATGCAAATTAGCTTCATTTCGGTTGTTCACAAGAAATTCAAATTCTTGAAGATTAGAAGCAGTATAGTTCGGGCCAGGATTACGGTGGATGTCCATAAAAATCGTCAAGTCAAATGTATGATCACAATCGGGAATGCTTAGGCATG